TTCTTCGACGTTCTTGAAGGCGTTCCAAGCCGCTCTCTTCCTCCTGCGCAGCTCAGGTGCCAGGTCATTTGTCATGTTGACCTCTCGACCAAGGTACACATAGTTGTTGCATTCGGAGATGGTCGTTCCATTGAGAGCGAATGGGGCATCAGGAACAAGGCTGTTTCTCATAAACATTGTCTTCGTAAGATTCAGCTGTAGTCCTACCTTTCCACACTCACGGTCAAAGTCGGCCAGCATTTGTGCCGCTTGGCTGATGTTTGGTGTTATTAAAACAATGTCATCAGCAAAGCGGAGGTGGTGTAGTTGCCGACCATCTATCTTCACTCCCATTCCTTCCCATTCCAGTCGTCGCATGATGTTCTCGAGGGTGGCACTGAAGAGTTTCGGTGAAATGGTATCACCCTGCCGCAGCCCTCTCTTGACATCAACGATCACTTCTTTGTAGAATGGTGAGATCCTGGTAGTGAATCCGCAATACAGCTCACAGAGGATCCTGATGTATTGGGCTTGAATGCCCTGATTGGCTAGGGCTTCAATGACCGCTTCCATCTCAACAGAATCAAAGGCCTTCTTTAAATCAATGAACGTTAAACAGAGCGGCATCTTGAACTCCCGAGAAACCTCAATGAAACCTCCCCATGCTGTGTATTTAGGAAACATAAGATAACAGAGAATTCCCTAAAGGTAAAGAAAAGACACATCCCCACTGAGACACAGGCATTCCAGAATGCAGTGCCTGGTGAGTGTTTCTGGCGATGGAATGGCACTGGCACGAACACAGAAACTTATTTTAATATTCCTTCCTCTTTTATGATTTTAATTGCTGAAGAAAAGTAAGAATAATCCCACCAAGAAGTTAAATAACTTTTCCAAGGTCCAGGAATGGGATTCCTCAACAGAACATTTGCCCTGATGTGTGTGAAGCCTTGATTCAATTCCCAGCATCATGAGAAAAGAAAACTTTCCAGATTAGAAAGATAATATAAGGGGTAACATGGCCAACCCAGTTCTATCCCTGGCACTGCAGATGGTCTCCTGAGTCCAACTAGGCATGATCCCTGAGCACAGATCCAGGAATAATTCCTGAGCACTGCTGGGCATGGTCCAACTCTGCCCTCACCCACCCCCGCAAATCACCAAGTTTCTATAATGCATAAAACACTTATATAGGAACATAAACATATGTTATATATCATATGTCTCTTACATATGTTACAGACATACAATATATAATTTGTATAATACTTGGGGGAGGCAAGGTTTAGAATTTGAATGCAAGCCTGTCTCTTTCTGAAGCCACACCCTTTCCACCAAGCCAAAAATTATATGAACAGATATCGCTAGTCATCTAAGCAGGGTCAGAAACATCTGGGGAAGGAGCTCTGCTCCTAGATCCATTCCCACGCCCCCTGGCTGGATGCCACAGAGGCCACAGAATCAGCAAGGCAGGTGGAGCCCCGGCCGGGCGGCCAGCAGACCCCATACCGCCTGCACCAATGAGTGCAGTCTGCAGGTGAGAATGCAACCAAGCTGAGCTCACATCTCACAGGACAAGCGGGAGGTCATGCCCATGGGGAGAAGGGGACTTGGTTGGGGGGAGAGCTTAAAGGGGACCCGCTGCTGGTGTAGCCCACCCCAGGGCAAATGCAGGAAAAACCTGGGCTGCTGTGAAGTTTCCCAAGAAACCACACCATAGGGCACGTCTCCAAGAATCATTTGCCAAATGTCACACAGGAAACCAGAGCTGGCGGATATGCTGAAAAAACAGACCCAAAGAGCCTCTTCCCTAAGAGAAAAGGTCAAAAAGATGGGGAGCTCGGGGGTATGGCTGGGCCTTGGATATATTTTTGTCCTTGTGCTCATGCTTATGCCGGGAGCATCTGTCATGATCACCGTGTCTCGGGATAACATTTGAGATGATTCAAACCAAATTGCCTACTTTTCAAAACATGTTTGAAAACTCTTGCACAATTTCACACACAGTAGAACAATCTCATTAACCGCACGCTATGGGAGGCTTTGATGTGGTGACTCAACACTTCAGACGCGCCCTTGCCACATTGAGCAATGCTTGCATTGCAAAATCTGCTGTCCAGTTTCATCCAAATGAATATCAGAGCAACGCTTGGGGCTTTTGAGGGGAGGCTGGCGGGGGGGGGGGGGGGGCTGAGTTCCATCCGATGATGCTCAGGAGCTAGTCCAGGCTCTGTGCTCAGAGCATATGTAGTGTTGAGATCAAATTGGGGGTCTGTGCATGCAAGGAAAGTGCCTTAATCCCTGGACTGTCTGTGGTAAATCAGAGGGGGGAGAGATGCTTTCGCTGTAGCGCCACGAGCGATTTTAGGGACAGAAGGCCAAGGATGGCACAGTAGGACTGGTATAATAGGACACTCTGGTGCAGAGAGGAGAGGCAGGACCAGAATCCAAGCACACATCATCATCTTTCGTGTATGCAATAAAATACACGTAACATAAAACTTACCATCTTAACTAGCTGCCAGTTGGGTTTTGGTTCGGGGGCTATATCCAGTGGTGCACTGAGGGCTATACCCAGTGGCAGTATGTGGTTCAGGGGACCACGTTGATCTAGGGATTGAATTCGAGTCTCTCTCATGCATAGCAAACACTCGTCCTGTTGAACGTTCTATCTAGCCCACTATTAACTGTTTTGGTTTGGGGTTTTTGTTTGTTTGGCCTTACAGAAGTCTTACACCGTTTCAGAGTGCAAACTCCTCTTTTGTTTTGATTTTGGACCACACCAGCAACACTCAGGAGTAACACCTGGCTCTTCACTCAGGAACTACTCCTGAGTGGTGGTGCTCAGGGAACCATATGGGACGGTGGGGATTGAACCCGGGTTGGCCAAAGGCAAGGCAAGTGTAACTATTTCTCTGGCTCAGCTCCCGCAGACTGCAAACTTTTGTCTATTCACAGGTGATCAGGAAATGCAATGAATGTGCACATGGTGCTCTAGATACATTTAAATACACTTTGAAGATATTTGCTACACTATTTACAATAGCTAGAATCTGGGGGGGGGGGGGGGGGAAACAAAACTAGTGCCCGAGAACAGACAACAGACGACTGGTTAAAGAAATCTTAGTATATCTACACAGTGGAATACTATGCAGCTGTTAGAATAAATGAAATCATGAAATTTGCATATAAGTGGATCAACATGGAGAGTATCATGCTAAGTGAAATGAGTGAGAAAGAGAGGGACAGACATAAAAGGATTGCACTCATTTTTGGAATATAAAGTAACATAATAAGAGACTAACACCTAAGGACAGTTAAAATAAGGGTCAGGAAGACTGCCCCACGGCTTGATGGCCGATCTCATGTGCTGGTGGAAAAGGAAGCTGGGATGTGGGATGGAGAGAGGAGCACTAAATAAATGATGGTTGGCGGGATCGCTCGGGATAGTAGATGCATTTTGAAAGTAGACTATGGACCAAACAAAATGGCTGCTTGTTAACTGTACTGCCAACCGTAATACCCAAAAGGACACAGAGAGTACAAGGGATTATGCCTGCCACAGAGGTAGGAGGTGGGAAGGGTGAGGGGGTTGAGGGAAACTGGGAACATTGGTGGTGGAGAATGGGTATTTGAACTAGTGGAGGGATGGGTATTTGAACATTGTTCGACTGAAATGCAATCATGAAACCTTGTATGTCTCTAAATGTATCTCACGATGATTCATTAAAATAAAAAAGCTAAAATTAAAAATCCCTAAAATTTTAAAAAAATCACACACTGTCCTCCCGTTCATCAATTTGCTCGAGTGGGCACCAGTAACGTCTCCATTGTGACAATTGTTACTGTGTTTGGCATATCGAATACGTCACGGGGAGCTTGCCAGGCTTTGCCGCACGGGCGAGATACTCTTGGTAGCTTGCTGAGCTCTTCGAGAGGAGTGAAGGACTAGAACCCGACTCGGTTGGGCTGGCTGCACACAAGGCAAATGCCCTACCCACTGTGCTATCGCTCCAGCCCGAAATTTAAAAAAAAGAAAAGATAAAAAAAAATTAGCTATGAAGAAGCATCCATCAATTAGTTGCTTGGCAAATTTGACATAGCTACTTCACAGGAAATACAAATATTGAAATATTTATATTTAAAGCTTTGTGAAACCATGTTGGAAAAACTCATTGTAAGACGCATTTGTCCCCAGCACTGCTAATTTGCATCCTCACCAAAGCTTAACTATTTTGGCTAATTCAACACTACACCATTTCATACATTGGTAGGGGAGGGGTGGGGGGGAGTGCAGAAGGAGAGAAAGAGGGGGGAAAGGGAAGGTGTCTATTTTGTTTTGGTTTATGTTTGAGGGCTATAGCCAGCGGTGCCCGGGGATTATTCCTGGCTCTGTGCTCAGAAATCACCCAGCAGGATTCTGGGGACCATATAGGGTGTTGGGGACCAAATCAAGGTCAGCCACATGCAAAAGCAAGTATCTTAACCCCTGAACTATCTCTCTGGTCCAGATACACAGGCTTTAACGATCAAAGTGCTGCCTGATCTCAGGTGCCTCTAACTGTGTGTTTATCGGGGTTCCACACACCCACAGTGCTGGGCAGCCGTCGCCATTCCTCCTCATCTCCCTGAAGGCAAACTCTGCATCCCTAAGACACTTACAGCTCCCCTCCCCAGCCTCTGACAGCCACCAGTCTAATCAGCCTACCAAGGACTCTGCACTGCTCTTCACGGAAGTGGAAGGCACTTCATGGAAGTGGAATCCTGCCCTGCATGTGGTTGTGAGTCTGAAATATTTCACTCTGCATAGTGTTAAGTCAGTGCCTACTGCCTGTACAATGTCTGTACAATCACCAGTCCAAGTTTTAATTTTCTGAAGTACTATTTTCTTAGTACCCTTTTACTTTTCTACCAACAAACAACACATCATTTGTTTTTTAAATAACAGCCTTCCTAAGAAAAGTGGCTGTAAGCCTTTTATTTACACCCTCTGAGTCTTCACTTTTTGCCTTTAAAATCTGGTGGTCCCTTGAGCAGCACATGTACTGAAACTGCAATGAGACAGAGAAGGTTAACACAGCCCCTGCACATGGATGACACAAAAATCTATGAAGCTTTCACATTCTTTGTTGTTGTTGTTGTTGTTGTTGTTCTCATGTTCATTGCAGCACAGTTCACAATAGCCAAGATTTGGAACCAACCTAGACATCCAAGAACAGATGCGTGGACAAAGAACTGTGGCATATGTGCACAGTGGAATATTACTTGGGAAAAAAACAAATCATGCAATAGCCACTATATGAAGGATCTGGAGAGTATCAGACTGAGTGAAGTCAGCCAGAAGGAGAGGGATAGACACAGAATGATCCCTCTCCTCTGTGGGAGACCCTAATAATAGTAAGGGAATAACAAGTGGCCAAAGGGAACAGAACCCGAGAACCAGCCAAAGAACTGAGCCATGGCAGAGGTAGGGGGAGGGGGAAGAGAACTGTGAACAATGGAGCAGGGAAATGGAGACTCAGGTGGCGGGTGTGGTGCTGGAATTCCGTACATGTGAAACCCTGTCATTAACAGTATTGCAAATTATGGTGCTTCGAATGAAAATAAATAAAATAGTAAATAAATAAAATGAGCATGTTGGACTAGGTAATCCCACAGGATCTCAGATTTCATCAAAAAAATTCAAAGGAAAATTAGACTCATTTACTGGGAAAACTCACATCATTTTAGCACTTCAAGGCTCACAATGCCCAACAATACCCCCAGCATGGGTGCACACTCTGGATAAGGTTGCAGGTAAAACACAGGCTTGAAATTCAAGCACAATGAGCATGAATGGGAAAGTTTGAGGGAGCCTGGTCCCAGCCTTCTGTGCAGAGATCACCCAGCAGTGCTCAGAGCTTACTCCTGGTGCTGGGTTCAGGGATCCCTCCTGTTGCTGCCTGGGAAAAACAGAAAATGCCGGTTATCCAGTGCAGATCAGCCCAATACAGGGTACATGCCCTACCTACTATACAATGTCTTGGGCCTGCAACTAGGGGGGAATTTTTTTTTTTAATTGCCAGACTGGAATGGCAGAGAAAACCTGAAATTCTTCCAAGAGATCTGCCCTGTATGCAGATCTGGGGTGAATCCTCCTCGTTCCAAACACAACAGATAAAACTCTTGACAGTAAACTGTACTTTCCAAACAGAACACCTTGAAGCAGTCATCAGTGAGACCACAGAATGAATACATATTTTTTTATAATCAGGTAAACAAAATGCAAGAAGGATGATCTTCAGGGGGAAAAAATAGTTTTAAAACAAAATTCAGAACTTCTGAACTCTGAGTCTAATACTGTTTGAAAATTTAACTTATTCTGGAAAGGGCACCTCGGGGCCAAAGAGAGAGCACAGGGGTTAAGGCATCTGCCTTGCATGCAACTGGCCTTGGACAACCCCTGGTACCACAGGGTTCTTCTGAGCACCCTGGGAGTGAGCCAAGAACACAAAGCCAGGAGTAATCCTGAAGCACTGTCGGGTGTGACTCAAACATCCAAAAAATAAACAAAACAAATAAAAATAGGGTCAAAAGCAGTAGTACAGTGGGTAGGCACTTGCCTTGCATACGGCAAACCCAGGTTCAATCCCCAATACCATCACCACTAGGAATGACCACTGAGCAGAGAGCCAGGACACTGCCCTGAGTACCTCCGGGTGTGGCCCAAAACCCAAACTCTTAATTAAGTTAAAAGAGAGGCTCATTATCACTTCTTTCCAAGAACAACAAAATCCATAATTTGGGTAGAAACAGCCCTAAGAATGCACATGACTTTTTGTGGGAGAGTTGGAACACTGTGGCCTCATGTGGGAATGAAATGGGAAGCCTTCTGAAGATTATCTAGATTCAATGTCAAATTTCTCATGAAACTTTTCTCTTTTTTTCATTTTTTATAATTTTTTTTTTTTTATTGAATCACCGTGAGAGCAGTTACAAAGCTTTCGGGTTTAAGTCTCGGTCATACAATGAAACACCCGTACCTTCACCAGTGCCCATTCTCTACCACCAAAAACCCCAGTATACTCCCATCCCACACCCTCCCGCTACCTGTGGAGCAGATGATTTCCACATTACTCTCTCTCTACTTTGATCACATTCACTATTTCGACACCAGAACCATCATTATTATTAGGGATTTTCCCCCAATACTCATATCTGCTGAAAAGGCAACAGTAGACAATTTGTCTTCTATTGCTGGTTAAGAATAACATATGATGTCGCGTGGCTGCAGTGGTGGCCCCGCGATTTTGAAATTCTGAAATTTTAACACTTAAATCTGGAGGGATTTCTGCCAAAACCTGCTGGGTTCCAAGATTTGTTCCTGAGTCTCTGGGATCATGGCCCTTAAGCAGCTTGATCAGGATCCTGAAAGGTCGTTCATGGAGGAGACTCAGGTCTCGTTGGGATGGGGAGAAAAGGGCTGGCTCCACCCCCATCCTGTGAGGCCCCATGTGTCTCGTCACTACGGGTCCAAACCTGACTGTCCAATAGCCTCTGGCAGATAGCAGCCACCGAGCCGCCAAGGGGGACCAGGCAGAGGGACAGCACCCTTTCCCCCCTGGGGTGGCCCGGCAACAATAACCTACTGTGGAGTCCGGACACATTTCTGCCAAAAGCCGCTGGGTTTCAAGATTTGTTTCTGAGTCTCTGAGATCATGGCCATTAAGTAGCTTGATCAAGAGCCAGAGAGGCCATCTGTGGGTGGCGACTCAGAGTCTCGTTGGGACAGGGAGGAAAGGGCCGGCTCCAACCCCATCCGAGGCCCTGCGTGTCTCATCACTGAGGGCCCAAACCTGACTGTCCAGTGGCCTCTGGAGGATGGCAGCCACCAGGCCGCCAAGGGGAACAGGCCAAAACACAAAACCTATTTCCACCTGGGTTGGCCCAGCGCCAGTAACCTACTGCAGGGGACCAGACGCATTTCTGCCAAAAGCCACTGGGCTTTTGAGATTTTTTTCTGAGTCTTTGGGATCATGGCCGTTAAGCAGTACGATCAGGAACCAGAGAGACCATGCCTCCAATTATATAGCTGAGCCCGAGGTGGTTTGTGGGTGTGTCTCCCACATACCTAACTTTTGGCCGTTTACTTTCTTGGTAAACTTTGCCCCAAGTTTTTGGGGTCTGGCCAAAGTCACAGCAGCAATTTTGGGGTATCTGGAAGTCTGAAGGCGCCATGAGGCTGCTGATGCACTCGCCTCACAGGTATAGATTGACCTGCTGGCGGCAACATACCCCTTTCATTTATCTTTTCAGAATTAGGATAAACAATCCTAAAATTTTTATAAACTCAGGAAAAATACCATATACCAAAGCAGTTACAGAAAGAAAAAAAAAAGATGTAGGAATCACGTTTCCTGACTTCAAAGTATCAAAACAGCATGGTACTGGCATAAAGCAGACACACATACCAAAGGCACAAGATAGGAAGTTCATAAATAAACCCATGCAACTATGATCAGTTAATAAGAAGAATCAAGAGTATAGAACAGTAAAGGACAGTATCTCCAATAAGTGACAACTGGGAAAATCAGATACATGCCACATGCCAAAGAATGAAGTTGTACCAATTTCTTAGACCAAACACAAAAATCAATTCAAAATGGTTCAATTTCCAGGACCATAGGCTCTCGTGGGTATCACCAGGAATGACTCTGAGCATATAATCAAAAGAAGGCTCCAGGCCCTGCCAGGCATGGCCCAAAACACACCACCACAAAAAAAGTAAATCATGACGAATTCGTAGACATTGTGTGTAGAGCATTTACCTTGCACATAGCCAACCCAGGTTCAATCCCAGCATCCTAGATGTTCCCCCGAGTACTGACAGGAGTAATTCCTGAGTACAGAACTAGAAATAAACCCTGAGTATCACCAAGTATGATTCAAAAAAGAAACAAAAATTATATATCATGGAGATTGGGGACTATTATAGAGCATGATGATTATCACTGACCAGGTTATGTTGTGTGTAAGTGGCTAAGGCGGCCAGGGGAGCTCGAGAGAGGCAGAGCTAGAGCACGTGCCTGCCAAACACAGTGCCCTAAGATCCATCTCCAGGGCTCGCTTGGCTTCCTGAGAACACCACTGGGTACAGCCAAGAGCTAGGGTCGCCTCTGGATGTGGTCTTAGCAGTCCAAGAACATCGCTCGTCCATGTGCCTCCAGTCAGTACCAGGCCAAGCTCTGCCACGGATTTCTCTATTCCCCAAGCACAGTCAGTGTGGCCCCTAATATACATAAATAAGTAAGTCATTTTTTTCAATGGACGTTGCTAAAAGAGCATCATTGAAAGTTCTTTTCAAAAGGGATAGACATAGAAAGATTGCATTCAGCTGGGGAACATAAAGTAACAAAATAGGAGACTAACACCCAAGAATGGCCGAGATTAGTACCAGGAATTTTGCTCCATGGCTTGGAGGCCAGCCACACGTGCTAGGGGAAAAGGGAGCTCAGATAGAGAAGGGAGCACCAAATAAAAGATGTTGGGAGGATCCTCCCAGGATGGAAGAAACATGCTGAAAGTAGACTTTAGACCAAACATGATTGCCACTCAATGCCTCTTTTGCAAACCACAACATCCAATAGGAGAGAGAGAACAAAAGGGAATGCCCTGCCACAGAGGCAGGGTGGGAGGGGGGAATGGGGGGTGGGAGGGATACTGGGATCCTTGGTGGTGGGAAACGGGCACTGGTGGAGGGATGGGTATTTCATCATTGTATAATTGAAACCCAAGTACAAAAATTTGTAAGTGTACAACTGTACCTCATGGTGTCTCACTAATAAAAATTTCTAAAAAATTTTTTAAAAAAGAAAGTTCTTTACATGGCACCAAGAGATTTAGGGGTTAAGGTCCTTGCTTTGCATGTGCCAACCCTGGTACCGATACAGTTTCCTAAGCACCACCAGAAGTGATTCCTGAGAACAGAGCTGGGAGTATGGAGTAACCACCATCAGGTGTGAACCCAGAATCTCTTCCCAGCCCCGAAACAAGTACTTTTCAAGAGAAAAAAGACTTTTTCCAGTATGCATGATGATGGATGTTCCGTGGGCTAACAGCGCTGACCATTTCACAGCATACACAAGCATG